TATATATTTTATATATAAAAATTTGTTCTATAATAAGTAGAACTCTGGTGACACAGATGCTCCACGGGGATATGATTGAATATGCGAAGCCATGAGTAAAAGTACAAGTTCACATTCTCATCACCTATCACTGATGAAGACAATTAGAAGTTTCAAGAAGCTGATGGGAGTTGCCTGAAATGGCAAAATTGCCATTGCTCAAAATTGCTCAAAGAAAAGAACATAAAGAATATAAATACTTTTGTTTCCATATGAAAACCACTTCTGAACTTCATGCTTGATTTGGAAAAGTTTTGATTCTCGGTTTTACAGATTAGACTGATAGGATTTTGTAGAAATGGTTCATACTTTTATGGTAAAACAAAAAGTTGTGATTTGTTGTTAATGCCTTATTCTACTGTAACAGAGTCGGAAGTCAATGCTTCTTTTTCTTTTTCTTTCCCTATCCTTTCTCACTTTTCTTTCCCTTTCCTCTTCCTTCTCCCTGTCCTCTTACTTGCTTTTGTATTTTGTATTTTATAATACTTTATAACCTAATAAAACATATTAAAAAAACTTTTGGATAGCTGATGGTTTTGGGCTATTTTATACAAACACATTATACAAGTATTCTTCATCGTTTAGTGATCATTCAAAGTTACAACAGCACTGAAAAAAGTGATTTATGAATGTTTTTCACACTTACAACGATGTTAAGTATTCCCATTACCTTGTTAAAACACTTGGCAACTGGCTCATATTTATGACAGTTACAATGTCCATGGATCATTGATCTCTTTTTATGACTTTCTGACAAGCAAGGTCAATGGGGAAGCCCCATTCACTTAACAACTGGGTTGCTAACTTATCAACTGCAGTGATTCACTTCACAATTGTGGCAAGAAAGGTAATAATTCACTTAACAAATGTTTCACTTAACAGACATTTTGGGCTTAATTGTGGTCATAGATCGAGAACTACCTGTATATGATTTTGAAGTTTTATATAAATATGTCAGGCAGGAAGAATTAGAACCATGAGTAAAATTCCGGTTAAACTAATTTATTTCTCATGCCTATATACACAAGAATCTAGTCAACTAAGATCATGTCTAGCACTAATGTTACCTAGTTTGGGTAATGAAATGTCTGCAAGAAAATAACCAAGCTCAAGAGCAGTAAGGATCCTTCATTTCAACCCCAGTTTCAAATATCCTCCATATTGGCAACTAAAATCAGCACTAAATTGGTGCTAACATGAATAAAATTACATCTGAATTCTGCTAATTCTTATCTAGTGTGAGTTTAGTTTTTACAACTATGGTGCCAAAATGGTCAAATCTGTAATTTTGATGGCTCACTGTATGCACACAATAGGATTTTTGTTTAGATTCATATTTTTATACTATGGCTGCTAAGTGTGATTAGATTTCTAATTCTGATCACTCATAGTATGCAGGTCAATGGCCTCTGTGATTTGATGTTGGTTTTTAAAATGACTTCCATTTAAAAACCATTTGAAGTCAAGATGCTCACTAACATGATCCGTGCTTTTGAGTAATGTGAAAAATTGTCAGACACATGATTGTCAGAATTTAGTATGCAGAAAGATGTGATCTATAATGTTATGATTTGGTATGGATCACATGTAGAATTTTTTTTTTTTTTGCACTATGGCACAGCAAAAAGTGCTGACTCCATTATTGAGATATTTAATTATGGGTAGATAGAAGTGTTTTGTGATTTGCTAGTACTTTCATGAGGATACAAATAACAATTATGGCTATTCATGATCATTTAATGCCTCATAAACATCCTGAATTGTCAGATACATTATTGCAATTTTCACTGCATGCCAGCAAAGAGAATTTGTAATAAAAGCATGACTTCATATTAATCCCATGCAAACTGACCTATGCCTCTGCTTCATGTAGCACTCTAGTACAATAGTCAGAGTCATGATTATTTGGGGTGGGGGTGAGTTCCTTGCATGCATACAGCTGTGCTCTTTTTTTTAATGGTGATTTTATGTGGGTTCCATAAATTTACACTAGGATCATATACAATCCAGGGAAAACTTACATTTTTAATGTGCTCAATCATCAATTGGTACTAGCTTCTTTATTGAACAATGAATTAATATTTATGAATAAACTAGTGGCTTTATTTAGAACTCAGTTAATCATAAAGCCAGATCTCAGGTTTCAGTCCTCTTCCACTTCCATCTGCACCGTAGAGTGAAACTGAGATATAGTACATATTAAAAAGTACTGTACAGAGAAAATGCCTATTACACGTAGGCACGGAGGAAACACGTACATAACTTAGTGAGCACGTAAAGAATAGGTGGGCATCCCTAATATCTGTAGGGGGTGGGAGGAAACCCGCATCTACCTCGGATGGGGCTGTAGCCTCTGCTGCATCGGCTGCAAAGATCAAAAGGGAAGGAAGAAAATAATAATAAAAAACAGGCACCTCCGCCCTCTTCCCCGTAGCAGGCACGCGCCCACGGCCGCTCGCTCCAGAGCGTCGGGAGCGCGCGCGCGCGCCTCTATTCCCCTCCTTCGTCTGCGCCGTCCTCGGCCAATGAGCGGCACTGTTGCTGGCAGGTGCGGCGTGTTTTTGTTTTGGGTAGAAGAATTAGTTGTAGTCGAGGAAGGCCAAGATTCCTTATTCTCTCCCTCTCGGAGCGGCGCGTGCCGGGAACGAGCTCCCGCTGGCCAGCAGCCTCACGCGCACCGAGAGCTTGTCCCCTGCCGCTTGGCCTTGGGAGGAGGAGGAGTGGTGGTGGTGGTGGAAAGGAATACGGCTCCTCCTCTCTCGCCATCCCCCTCCCGCGGCGAAGAGGGAGGACGACGGCCAAGCAAGCGACCGAAGCCGCCGCGCCAAAGAGGTGGGGGGCCAGGTCTGGCTCGGCCTGGCCCGGCTTGGCTTGGTCTCGCCCGAGCTGACCCCCGCCGGGCCTCAGCCATGAGGAGAGAAATGAACGGGGTCACTAAGGGCCGGTTTGAGGTGAGCAAATGACCGGTTGGCTCCTTGGAAGTTTTTGGGCTGGCGGTGGTGATGGTGGGGAGGGGGGAGAGGCTTTGTTTAGTGTGCGGTTGAGGGGGGGATTGGGGAAGGGAAGAGATCTCCTTCCTGGAAGGTGCTGCCCTTTCTGCCTCCCTTCCCCATGAAGGGCGGCGGCGGAGCAAGGGCCGTACGTTTTCTTGGACGAGTTGGGGCGAGGATGAGGGTGGGTGGGATGGAGGGAGCATACACGGGTGGAGGAGATGTCCCTGGGTCGAAGGCTGTCATCTCCCTCTCTGCCTGTCCGGCCAAAGAAAGAGAGTTCGGTTGTTTTTCTTCCCCTAAGTAGATACTGAGAGGTAGGGAGTCTTTCCTCTCTACTCTCTTCGGAAGAGACCCTATGGCCTTGCCTGCCTGCTTCTCCTCTTGGCAAACACAACCACCAAACCAAACGACGGTCAAGTAAACGCCTCCGATTGTGGGTCGAGGTAGTCCGATTACCCAGAGGGAGGTGCCGGTGCGGCTGCTGCTTTTTTTTTTTTTTTTTTTTTTACCGCCGATGCGCCGGCCCTGCCTGGAAGGAAGAGGCGGCTGCTGGTGGCGGCGGGGGATGGGAGGCGGTTTCATCCGTGCGTATCGGGGCCGCAGGAACTGCTAGGAAGTCTTTGGAGTTGAGGGTGGGGAGGGGAGGGGGAGGAGGAAGGGTGCTACTTCGCACTGAGTTTTCCTTCCCATTCGCCCGCCCTCCTCCCCGCAACTCCGGCCGGAGGGGAGGAGCCAGTAGAGGAAGGAGAGAGGCGGTGGACGGGGAGGAGCCTGAGCGCTTTAGGGTTTGTGTGGAGTGGAAGTCCCAGGGTAGGGCCGCCGTCTTCGATTGCGGGATTCCCCTTTGGTAGAAAAAAAAATACATATTGTTGTTTCGGAGGGGTGTGGTGGATGGAGGGTTTGCGCGGGGAGACGAGTGCAGAAGAAATAGGTTGTGGATACGTCAACCAGGACAGAAGGGGGATCGCACGGAGCATGCAGGTTGTTTCTCCTGTGCTTAATGATAGCTAGTGGTAGGGGCCTGCTTGGTGGCAGGAATAAAGAGGAGAGGATGTGGTGGAAATGCGTCTATATAGAAAGCCCTGTAGAATGATTAAAAAAATATTATAAAACTGCTGCTTCTGCTTCCGCCATATCCTCGTCTACCACGTATTTTTCACCAATCAGGGGTAAAGGGAGGGGACGTGCTGTGATAGAGCAAAGACGTGTTGAGGAACCGTATAATGTATCATGTACGGAGTTTTGGGGTGTGTGTGGGGAAAGGGGCAAAAACTATTTGTATTAAGAAAACAACCGGAGATTGAAGTTATGTCTAACGTTAATGTTGGGGTTATGTAGATGAACAAGTATAGTATATGAAGCTTATGTAATTACTGTATAGGTTAATGAAATGAGAGCAGCTAGTACTTTGAATGATATCCTAGAGGATGTATCCATTACAGGTATTAATTAATGTATTTGCATCTTTATATACAGATATGTGATTGTGATTTTAAGAGTTGTAGTGCTTACAACTCTTTTAACAGCAAGTACAGCTATTTTCAGGATGTATAGTTGATCATGTCAGTTTAAAATTGTGCAAAGCAAATGCCAAACAGCTATTTTACAATAAGAGAGCAAATGACTAGTGTTTAATATCAGATTGGTCAAAAGCAGAATAATCTAGTACTATTGTTGCTTTTCGTTTCATGAGGTTGTGAAAAAGGAAGAAGTCCAATACTTGGAAACTGAAGGAGAGGGATTTTGGAAGGGGAGCAATTCAAGAATAAACAACAAACTATTCAGGAAAACATGGCATGTAATCAGAATAATCTGGGACTATACAAAAGCACCTTATTTTAACCAGTTACTGCCAGTGCATTATTGTGACAAATATCTTTCCTCCAATTTGGCTCCTTTCTGAATTTATGATGGTGGCAGAGAAATAATATGGGAGTCACAAATTTTATTTCTTCCTTATTTTTCTTATTTTTGTATTATCTTTCATGAATATAAAGCAGCAATAATTTAAGTGCAATAATAGTAGTCTTACTTAGAAACTACAACTCTGAACATTACTGCTTCTTCATTTTGTAGTTTAGAAAGGAAAAATAAAACTAACCAAGTGTTATAAAAAGTATTTAGCACCAGATGATAAACCTCCAAACATGAAAAAGAATATCTTCGTCCAGAAATTGGCTGTTGGATTAAGACAGGTAATACTGTGTTTTGCTTTTATTTTCCTACTTTATACAACTATTAAACTGCATGTTGATGCAAGGAACAAATAAAAAGAAGAGATGGTATATGCATTGAATTAAATGTCACAAATTGCATAATATGATGTCACTAGGTTCAAATTTCAACTCAAAAGATAGAACCTTGTGGTTAGCATAGAATAAGCTTCCACCCCATACATTTAATATTTTGTTCAGTTTCAGCCACCTTTCCTGAAAGAAGAAAGTGTGCAGGACTAACAATCTTTGAAAGAGAATTTAGCTGTTTAAACTGTATCATTTCAGCATTTTAAAATTTGAAATGAGTTAGAGAAGAGAGCCATGCTGACTCAGGAATTCTGGGAGTTGAAGTCCACAAGATATAAAAGGGCTATAGTTCCCCACCTCTGTCCTAAGTGTTTTGGAAATCAAATATATTCAAATTTGTTGGTCTTAATTTTGCTTTGCTTGTAATACAGTATTCTTATTTTAAAAAGGATATGTACAGTATAGTTTGCAAAATGAATTCATCTTATTATAAAAGGGAACTGGAGACATTACCATAAATCAAAACAAAAACTTTCTAAGGGAAAATAAATTATTAAAAATACAATATATTTATTTAGTAAAGTAGAATACAATGAAAATTTGTCGCTATAAAAATCAGCTTTTATGCAGAAAGTATTTGAGATGAATAATTAAGTTGAAAAAATTGAAAATTATCTTGAAAACATTTCTATTACTGTTGTTTTTCTATAAAAAGTTTTTCATTCTCAGGTATATCTTTTATCATTAAATTACCTAGGAATAATATAAATAAACACTGTGTAGGCTAAAATGGGAAACTGGAATGAGTATAATACAGATAATCTTCGACTTACAACAGTTTGTTTAATGATCGTTCAAAGTTATAATAGCACTAAAAATAGTGACATGACCATTTTTCACACTTACTACCAATGTAGCATCTCCATAGTCACATCAAAATTCAGATGCTTGGCAACTGTCTCATTTTTGAGGGTTGCATTGTCCCAGGGTCTTGCGATCACCTTTGGTAACCTAACAGTGGAGAAGCCAGAATTCACTTATCCAGATTGCTAACTTAATAACTGCAGTAATTTACTTAATAACTGTGGCAAGAAAGATAATAAAATGGGACAAAACTCCCTTAACAATTGTCTTACTTAGCAACAGAAATGTTTGGTTCAATTTTGGTCATAAGTCAAGGACTATCTGTACTCATCAAATCAAAGTTGTAACATGCTTTCTTCTAGAATCCATCTTGAGGCAGCTATTCATTAGGGCCATTTTCAGAACCAGAATACAGTACTTCCTTAGATAAAGATGGTTAGAAATAGAAGGATGAGAATATGCACAATGTAAATTGGGTAATATCAAGAGATAAAATAATTTACTTTTAATGAGTGGAAACTAGAAATGGGAAGAAAAGTTGGAAGTAATTTAAGAGGTTGTATTTCTGGAGAAAGCAGTTGTGCATACAATTCTTCAAACATGCTAACATTAATATGATGCTAACATCAATATGACAACAGGTTGTTCTGCCCTTGCTTTTTAAAAATTCTGTACTATATATTTTAAGTCTATATTAAATTTATACCATTCAATTTTTGCAAGCATTTCATTGTAAATAATTTCTAAATAAATCTTTGAATATGTATGATTTTCACATTAAGCCATACTTAATGCACTGATTCTAATTGCCTCCTCAGATCAAAATTACATTTAAGCAGTTTAAATGTTGGGGGAAAATAAATAGGATATTATACATACACTGCATATGAAATGATCTCCATCAATTTAGAATTGCAGAAAATATTTTGGAATTTTCCAAAAAATATGGAGACTCTTGGTAGTCTGATCACAAATGTGATCATATACTGTATGTCCAATCTGACTTAAGAAAGAATTGCATACCATTATAATGACCAAAATTCTCAATTCCAGTAAAATGTAACCTAAAAGCAACTGCATTAATTCAGTCATAAAACAATGTAAGGATAATTCTTTTAAAAACCCTAGTCTTTAGGAGAATTATTAATTATTTATAATAATAAGCCTATAGAGTACCACATTATGGCTAAATAGAAAGAAATTTGTGTGTAGGGGGACCGGAAAAGAAAGGTAATATAGATGTATCATAGAAACAATTAATACATTTGAAAATTATTGATGAGCAAACAAAACACTATTTGACCGGGGTGGGTGGGGGGAGAACTAACTTAAGTGATCCTATGTGAACTTCTCTTGGGAAATTGCCAGCCAGGCTGGGAGGAGGAATCTAGCTTGGAGTCTGCGCAGTCACAAACATCATAAGTGTGACCTCCCCCAAGATCTATGAAGCCTTATCTTGTTGTTCCCAGAGCAAGGTAAGGAGTCTGGTGAGATTCTTCTAGCAGAAGTGGTAGATTATAGTTACTGACTTTTCTTATTCCAAGTGACTCTTGTTGCTTGCATCTAATAACTTCAGAGTTATACAGATTTTCAGGCATAGGTGCTACATTGAAACATTGCATAGTGCTAGTAGAAACTTGATATATTTCCAGATTCTTGACTGAACTTCAGAAGACTTTGGCCTGTAACAACTAGACTTTCATCAAGGAAAAAGGTATTTATATATGTTCCCTGAAATTAAGAAAGTGTCAAGATACAGTAGTAATAGATATTTTGAGGAATTTTATTCTTTGGCTCTTGAAAGAGACAGAGATAGCAAAGACAATTTTATATAGTTATAATGTAAAATATATACCCTGAGAATTTTTTTCATGATCCGCATCTCATAAATCAAATATAAAAAATTAAACGGCCCAAATGAGCAATATAATGGGACAGTAAATCACTATATACTTGATACATATTAACATATTTATTTAAAACTGTTGTAGTATGAATAAGTTGGGCTTATTGAGCTACCGTTTCTGATAAAAGAATGTAGAATAAAACTAAAACATGATAGCATTTATATAGAGGTTCTCATAGTTACTTCATAGTATTTAAATTTGCATGCAAAACCTGAAGGGTTGAATTGTTTCTGAGTATTCAAAGAAATATTTTGGCAGGAAAAAACTTTTTCAATAATGAACTATGAAATATATTGTTTATAATTTTTCCTCTTCTCTTGAATGGAAAAAAAACAGAATTACAGGGTTTGAGCAGCTAACAGTCGATTTCTGAAGAACTAAAACAGAACATTGGATCTTGCTTTGGATTTTGAATTTGTTGCTTCAAATTATTCCCTGTCTTGAATATTTATAATGTTCGCATAATATAATCCTGACCAATGTATTTAGCTTCCTGAAATTATATATAAAGAAACTCAGTGGTAAAAGCCATAAGGCAAAAATATTGTTTGAAAGGGCTGAAGTATTTTCTCTTGAAGTTTAATTTTCAGTTCCTTTTTTTCATGTTTCTTAGTTTTTCTTTTTGCCAATACAGATTCTGTCAAGATCTCATGGAAATAGTCATTTGGCTTGTCCCCATCTTTAACTGAAATATACACGATTCAGACAAAGCACTTAAAACTAGAAATACTTAAAACTGATGGGGGGGGGGGTTAACCTTCAAGCCACATGTGAACCATTTTTACAGACTCATGAAGTCATACCAGCAAAAATTGCTGGCAAACTACCAAACAATAATCAGGCAAATTCTCATCAATTTTCAATGACAACAAAGAAAAAAAACCTATTCTATATTCAGTATAATATGAAGTATTCGTGTGTTTTATTTGGTTTAGATTTAGCATGTTATTGCAAATTCAGATATTACAGTTTATAACTTTTTTCTAAATATAAAATACTTAGAAAGTTTTTCTTTAAAGTGAGCAAAATATTTAGAAAGTCCTGCTGTAATTATCAGCTCCCTTAAAAAAATATACTACTATCATCAGACTCTGAATAGTTATTCGTCCTTAATCTAGACTAAAGTAATGGTATCTGCTATTTCTCTAATAGCAATACTGTTACATTGACTACAAAATAGTTGATATTATTTAATATATTTCAATTGGTTTAAATAATTCTTTTGGTTATATGTTTTAAAAAATGTTCTCACTAGTGTCATAACTTGCAATGCTTGTCACTACACCCATTCATTTTAGTTTGGGCTCTTTTTTTATAACTTTTTTCCATTGCATACATTCAAAAGCAATTGCAATGAAGTGCCTGTTTCTGCTATATTCTTTCCTGTTAAGGTTTAGTATAGTTTGATGTTTCTACAACTTGGTAACTGTGCAAAGAGAGATAATAGAATCATAGACCCGTTTTTAAACATCCTTTTTGATATTTGGGTACTGTGATTTTTCCTTACCTGAGGCCTTCTTTGTTTTTAAAGCTATGAAATTAGCTATGCTAGCCCCATATAATTGACACAAATCTTTTCATGTCCCTAATCACTTGGAATTTAAATAGTGGCAAAGTCAATTATTGTTGAGTTCTAGAATATTTTTATATTAACATTGTATAATCACTTTGTTGATCTTAATGACTTTGTTGGGGGTAGTAAGCTCATTATAGTAAAGATAAACCTCTCCTTTTTGGGGTGCAAAAATAAGCATGTTGATTTCTGTACCTGAATGCTTTCTGCCCAGATAATGTAGTTTCAGTGGGAAAAGTGACTGGCTACAACAAAACAAGTAGGACAGAGTAACTCAGTAACTAAATTCTCACACATATAAATTCCCATCATGCTCTTCCCTAAAACATTAAACAAGGTGGACAAAAGGAGTAAAATAGTAAGCCAAAGTAATTGGAGCATGAGATTAAAAAAAGCAAAGGAAAGGTAGTTAAAATTAGTTTACATCAACACTCCTTACTTTTCTCTTCTTAGCAAACCATCCATGTTTCTATCAAGTATCTATACTGCTCCACACATTTATTTTCTTTGTTTAAATTTCTTACTCTTCCTTTTTTGAAGATCTCATCAGCTTGACATTCTTGGTCTACCCATTTCTTTTAAGCTACCACCTCCCCTTCCTTCTTAAA